ACTTTATACAACACTGTTGTTGGTTCTATGTCTCTCAGCTGACTTCAGCCTGACCTCGGCTCGTTTATCTCAGAAAATATCTGTTTATTTAACTCATTTGGCTGCATCTCGCACAAACTTTTTCCTTTCCCCCTCTTAGTTTCTCTGCTCCATACATCTCATTCTTTCTAACATGTTAGTTAATTTTACCAGCGTGGCTCTTTTTCTTTATGTTTTTTTAATTTGAGAGGGGGAGCACACCGAGCTTCCTCGTCTGCAGGTCCTTGCTCTCCCACTCCACAGAACCGCTCTGTTTACAGGCGGAGGGAAGGTTGGTGCGAAAACACGGACTGGATAACAACCTGGCATGTCCCTGTGTGTAACACCATGGGTTGCGGTGAAAACATGGACTGGATTTATATCAATGCTTGTATTTTTTACAATGATAAACTGGACCGGAGTTGAGTTTTTGGCTGTTGTCAGTTCTCAGTGTGAGAAAGTGGAGGTGTGGTGTGAGAGCGTGTAAAACCCTCAGATGCGTGTGTCTCACTCTCAATGCGTGACACTTGAGAGCCCTGCTAAAGAGTCCGGAAAAGTTCACTCAACACACAAAATCTGAGCTGCGAGTGCACGCCTCATCTGCATCTGCCTCCGGCACAATGTAAGTGGCGACCAAAATGAATGAAGTGAACTTGTGTGGAGAGTAGAATGGTTTGCAGTTGATAAAATGAAATTCTAGAGCAGGAAAGCTGTGTTGAGATCACAGACATGTCAGTGCACCAGTGGGTCTTGATGAAAAAACAGACTCCCCCGCCTTTGGAATTGCATGAGATCACCGGGTCACGGCCCGTGCGGATGTGTTGAAATCAATGATATGATTTCGATTCAATTCAATTCACATGTCTGCGATTCACATCAAGCATATTATGACGATAAAGATAGATATTTTCATTTTGCTTCGATATAACTAAATCATGAACCATTTATGTTTAAATATAAAATAAATTGTTCTTCTCATCATTTCCATTTCTAAACACCTTGAAATTGGCCTCTGTCTCTTTAAGAAACTCCTTCAGCTTCTGTCCCACCCATTTCCCCATGGGGGACTGTGTGTGTGTGTGTGTGTGTGTGTGTGTGTGT